TCAAACTGCCGACATCTATCCTATTGACGTAATCTTTTCTTCCAAAGCCCTATTCCGATCCCTATTATGCTACACCGCCCCCACGCATCATTCGTCCAGTCCAGGGCAATGGCCCCATCACTGATCTTACGCTTATTGATCTTCAATGTGGTGGTTATACCGAAGGGGGTATTGTTGGCTCTAAACCTGCGAGTTTGACTGCGGGTCCGGTTGCGGCTGGGAGTACGGTTAGTTTGAGATGGACCCTATGGCCCGATAGTCATTGTAAGTTCTTTATTTTAACTTTTTTGAGTTGTAATGGAAGATATAAAAGATCGACGAGTAGATGTAGAGATGCTAATTGAGATTTGTGAAGCCGGTCCAGTGATAACTTACATGGCGAAATGTCCCGCTGCAGGATGTAGTAACTATCTCCCTGGCACTGAGTAGGTTTTTTCCATTGCCTTCCTATCTCAATTCTTACCTCTCACTAATAATGCCCCCACAGCGCCGTTTGGTTTAAAATCCAAGCCACCGGACGCATCGGCAACACCACCGTCTGGGGCGACACCCCCCTAAAGACCGCTGGAAATTCTTACTCTTACACTATCCCCTCCTGTCTCTCCGCTGGCTCATATATTGTTCGTCATGAAATCCTTGCGTTGCATGCGGCGTGGACATATCCAGGTGTGCAATTTTATCCAAGTTGTCATCAGATACAGGTTACGGGAAGTGGAACCAGTACGGGTCCTAGTAGCAAGGTGGCAATTCCAGGTGTTTATAAGGCGACGGATCCCGGAATTGTTTATGATATGTATGCGGTTCAGCCATATACGATTCCGGGACCAGCGGTCTTTACGTGCTAGATGGAAGGGATGAGGATGATGGTAAGCGGGGGATGGGGTGGGGTGGTGATGATATTTGTGTTGGTGAATAGGGGAATCGTTGGGCGAGTAAGACATGCGATACACTTGTACATATGTTGATGTTAGCTTTGGTGTTCAGATTATCGAACCGATATGACTATGTGTCTATGATCTCACTGGCAGGAAAACTAATGACATTGGTTTGGCGGTGATTTAATCTGAGCTATGATCGGCAAGCTCTATTTAATACAGCATTTGAATATTAGGAATTCATTGATTGAAAAAACCTAAACACTTTCCGTGGGACGTAAATAAACATGACATGTTGTTATAACAAAAGTGATGCCATTATCAAATCTAAGCTAATTGGGTATATAAAGTCTAACTAATCTGAGTCATCACATATGTTGAACATAATGAATGAATGAATATACTACAAATCGGCTTAAATTGACCTCATTTAGCGAACAGAACTATGAACTCTTGCTAAAATCCAATTTAAATTCATTCAGCTTCATTTCCCCGTTCTTATTGGATCTAGTAATCAACAAATTTCTCAGATTTCATGGTTTTATATATTCAAACAACCCAAGAGACACACCATGAAGATATTGTTTGCAGATTCAAACCCAGGCAGCTATTGTGTGAATGAAGACATCAGAACTAATTTGAGTTTGTTCCTTGAGGGCATGTTGTTTGATGACTCTGTTAATGAGTCGATATGATCAAAATTGTTTAGTGTTTATATTAACCTTTAAAGAGAACCTCTTGCTCCTTTCTCATCAATTTTACTTTATCCTTCATTTTTTCCACTTCCAAATTTGAATGATTATAATTAGATAGTCTCCAGAATTCCTCTCAAAATGTATAGATATCTTTCTGTTAGAGATTCAATATACAAGCAAAATGAGAAGATTCTTTTCGAAAGACTTTATCAATCCTTTCTCAAGATCTTCCTTCAAGTTAGATAGGATATCCTACCTACCTTGAATCCACAGTAACCAATCTCCGAAATGATACTGCTTCAATTAAGTGGGTCCAAAAATGTGAATATATTCACAAAGCTCATCATGTGCCAGAAGATTGCTGCCAAAGATTCACTTGATTTGACTGATCAACCTATTATATCTCTTGCTTGCCCAGTGACTTATTTCGCTTCGAGGCAACTAATATAGTACTCTCTTCAATACCTAGGTATTCTAATCTTTAAATTCTCATGAATAGACTCGGATAGTCCATCTGCTTCCACTTCCACATCTTCTCATAAACAAGCAGCTTCCACCCTTCTTTATACCTTCAATATTTTTCATGAAGTTTTCTTGTATAATACATAAGTCCTCAACCATATTCAATATACTATACAACTCCAACTCTTTATCCTACTCAATCTTCAACAAGTCAGCAACATAAACATGTCTTCTACACAAACCGCCTCCACACAAACAATAGTTGCAGATCCCGAAGGAGATGTTTTACTCCTTCTCGAACCAACAGAAACAGGACAAGTCAACAAAACCAAAATCCTATGCTCTTCAAAACATCTTGGTCTCGCATCTGCCGTCTTCAAAGCGATGCTCAGGCCAAACGTCTACAACGAAGGAACAACTCTCTCCCACGTTGGCAAAGTGGAGATTCCACTTCCAGAAGACGATGCTGAAATCATGACGACCCTTGTACTTTTAATACATGGCCGTCATCAGCATCCTAACCTTCATCCAATGGTAAATATCGATTGCCTGGGCCAGGCGGCGATTCTGGTTGACAAATACCAAATGCATGAGGCCACCAACTTTATCACTTCAGAATGGGCACGTTCATACTTTCGTGAAACCCCAATTCTCGCTCACCGTTTACCTGATTTGCCCTTCATACTCTGCATAACTTGGGTATTCAACATGGAGGACCACTTCAAACAGGCCACACGCCAAATCCAGTACAAAACTGTTGGCAGCATTATCGATTCTGTGGCAAGTTTCCCTGTCGATTTACCGATTCCACACAGTGTCATTCGTAAGTAACAGCCCAACCTAAACTCCTTTTTGCACTTCAAATACATCTCACTAAAATATGTCCTTTAGAGAAACTTGAGACCTCAAGACGTGCCAACATTGCACGCGTAATCGAAATCACCAGGCTTATGGTTGCCATACGTGAGGATAACATCGACAGCGCTCATCGAATCTGCAGAGCCACCAAGAGAAGCGAATCACAAGAAGATGAATACGAGCTTCAACAACACAGGAAGAAATGCGATAGAGTTGTTCTTGACGGTTTAATATCCGCAGCTTCACAAAAAGGTCTCAGGCCATTCAATTTGGCGCAATCTCTTGTGGAAAATGGCTCTGTTAATCGAGCTATGGAAAAAACTACAACTCTTGATTTCACGACGGAGTGCGAAAGATTGATCGATTTGCATACGGATCATACCGGGGTTGTTTATGAGGTAGGATCTTCCCGCAGAATCAAACAGGAAATTGAGGCTGGTGTGAGAGGGATCGAGGCGCGCATGTTAGGCTTGGGGTTGAAGCAGGAGAAGGCGAGATTTGTTGTCCCGATGTTGGAAACACGTCGTTGAGTTTGTGGATAATGATGCAGGAATTTTTGAACGATTGGGCATGTCGATAATGTATTTAAGACGAAGGACAGGATTTTAATTGGAAATGTAATACAGCAATACAATAACTTTGTCCTTGAATCACTGGAAAAGATTCATTGACAATAAATGTGAGACCTTGATCACTTCTTCTTTTGGCAATCTGAGTATAGGTATGAGTAGCATTCAATGAATCTCAAAAATGTTTCTCCAACAACCTAGGTAGGTTGAATGAGTTCATACATCTTAGTCAAATAGCAAGCAGTACTTTGTTAGTCAAGTAACCAACAGTGCTATGTCTCCCATTCACAACAGGACCTTTGAATCCCATTTTGAGAAGGAAGAAACAAGCCAATATACATATCGCACTAATCAAGAACTCACAAAATCAATTCCATCTCCATAACTTGAACTCACAAGAAGCGGGCATAAATCCTCCATAATTTCCTCAATTCCATTACCCAGCCTATTCTCCAGCCCATCGATTCCTGCTCACTTTATATTAGCTCCCTCTCTAACACTCATAAAGAAAATCCATACTAATAAACCTATAGTCCCCGACAGCAACACAACCATATTCTCAAAACCTCTCGATCATCCCAACGGACCGTTTCAAAAACCACAAAACATCATGTCAAGAACTTACTTAATCCCAGCTTTCATTTGTCTTCAGCGTATTGCTCGAAAATTACCATACAATATCTTCTAAATATAGTAAACCAAATCAAAGCTCTCAGACTCCAAAATCAACACAAACACCTTAATCCACCTCGAGCTCCTCTACACTATCCAGGGATCTCCCGGTACTTTCTATCCTCGTCCTAACTGACATTCAAAAAATACGAATACAATCACCCTCGCTATTCTCATTGACAAATACATACATGATAAAAGCCACATCCCTAGATTCCTCAGATAAAACTCCTTCAGGAGAAAAGAAACGAGAAGATTGAAATGGTATCTTGTAACGTATGAAATTGATGAGAGTAAGATCAAGATACCAGAGTTCCAGTCTGCTGTTGAATTCCAGTGATGGAGGGGATCAGGAGAAGGGTGTAGCTTATGCTCGAACAGAGGGAGCTTTTGCGGTCAGTTAATTGATAGAATTGATTGTAGAATACAATTTACAAATCTTTGAACCAAGCTTTTCAGTATATACCTACTTCCATATTCAAAAATAGTCTAGAATTAAACTCAGATTACTCGTCTAAACATTGCAGAATCCAAATTGAAAGTCTCTAATTCTCAAACTGCGCGTCTGCGATATGGACTAAACTCTGAAAACTACTGTATACTACCTACTTCCTGATACCCGAGGTTCGTGCTAGAATTTAAATTCAAATGAATCAACGAACTGGGGTATAAAAACATGATTTTTAGATGATTCAACGCGCCGATGAAGTCATTTATGGATGGATGGATGGATGAATGGGAAATTGGGAATTTAGTGCTTGATTAAGGATAATACTTCGAATTTCTTGAGAATATATGAATGTGCATTAAACCGCGATGTGGAGATAATCTTAGCTCTAGAATAACTAGATAACAACCAAGCATACCAATCAACCTTGAAAAACACCACCTTCTTCAATAACTTTAAACGCATCCATAGTATGTTTCCATACCACCTCAGCAACCCCATCTCCCTTGTACTTCTTATACATCTTCGGTGTTGGATATCTTTCTCCCACAGATCCAACATTATACATACCTCCACCCGGTGTCCCATCTACCGCCTTCACCAACTCAACACCCCGCAAACCATCCTCTCTCCCCTGCCTTTGCTCCAGATCCCCACCCGCATCTCTCGGTCTCCACCTCTCACTCATAAGCCACAAAACCCTCTCTCCACACACCTCCCCCTTCGTCTCCCAAAACCTCATCACCGGCCCCACCCCAAACCTCCACAACCACTTCAACCACCTGGGTACATCTCCCTTCTCCAACATATCCGTCATGACCACTCCAGGATAAACATGCATCAGACTAATCCTCCCCGGATTCGCCTCTGCGATCTTCTCCATGAAAAATGTCGTCATCCAACATACGTGCGAAGAAGCATAGCGGAGAATACTATGTTTGCGCAGAGAGAGATCTTCGGGGATGAGTTTACTATGGAGTTTGGGATTGAGGATTGAGATGACGCGGCTGGGGAGGGGGGAGCAGAGGAGGAGGGGGAGAAGCTGGGTGATGAAGCGCATGCGGGAGTAGTACATCAGGGAATAGGTGGAGTCGAGACCTTCTTTTGTTGCTGTTGTTTCTGTTAGATTTCTGTTTATTACTTCAGGGAATGGGAAACTAGGAGAGGAGGGATATTAGGAGGAAGGGATAGAGATGAAATAGAAACTTACCATTTCGAGACAACGTAAGAACCCCTTGCGTCATAACCAACAAATCAATCCACGCTTTCTCTCTCTTCTCCTTCTGTCGCTCATCTAACACCCCTCTAATTTCCCGACAAACGCGATCCACATCCTTCAACAAACTCAAATCTCTCGCTTGCACGAAGCGAAAATCTCCATGAGGACAAAGCTTCCTGCATTCGGCCATAATTATCGTCGCTGCATCTTTATTTCTTCCAACGATGAAGAGCAGAAGAGGCTGGGTACTGTTTTTGGCATGGGCAGAAGCGAGAGCGAGGGCAGTATGGGTACCGATTCCGGAGGTGCCACCGATGAAAACTGCGATTAGGGGGGAGGGATGAGTGTGTAGGAGATGTGAGGTTTGGGTATGGATTTCGGGGAGGGGAACCATAGTTTGGGATTCAACGCGGACAGTAGACTGTGGACAAAGGAATCAGAGTATATAGACTTAAGAAATGAGAAAGTAGTGAGAATAGCTTGATAGATTAAGTCAATGAATGGGATGAAGCTATGTATAAATACTCATTTGAACACTCATTCGGTATATATATCTCCCCGATTCCATGAAGAAATGGATTACTCTCAACTTGATAATCAACCTGAACGACATATTTAAATATTCTCATAGTTTAATTCAACCGGAGGTCGAAGGAATAGACAAAGAAAGATGGGAAAAATGTAGATGCCAAATCCCATGTATGGATATGTCAATTTTCTTTGCGGTGATTGGCTCGGATTTGAAGGTGGAACCGAACTAAAGCCGCATTCGCATTCGGAATTTTAAAGGAGTACTAGATACGTATTCATTATCGGAATCCTGATCAGAATCCTGATATTGGTTTTCGCTTTGGGTTTTTTTTGGGACTGGGGTATCGAAGTCGTAGCTTTCACTTTAAAAAGTAAAGTAATTACAGAGGACATGATAGATCTTGAGCAAATTGTGAAATGCACGTGACTTGCGTGATATATATACTGGCTCGAATGGATAGCTCAGAGGAGCTCAAAATCTACTCCTTGATAGATTTTGAGTTACCTTGAATGTTTATCTTGATTTTTCTTTCAACCCTGGCTCTCTGTAATTCCAGATCTCCTCCTCTGATTCTCGTCCACTGAGTCCTGTATTGTCGAAATGATCTCTGTTTCCGCTTTCACTCTTTTTCAAGGACTCATACTTGGAATCCTAGAAAGTTTTTATAGAGGATATTTTCTTATACCTCCTATCTGACAGTTACTTTCAAACTCAGACTCTCTTGACCATACAATTACAAGTTCTTTTCAATTAGAATCTCCAGCTTTAAATTCCAACAACAGTTATCAAAGTCCCTATCGATTTTTCAAGATGGCCCCTCTCAAGCCATCACGAAACGAAATCTTGCGATGAAAAGAAATCATGGTGGAGATTCCATATGATACTGAATGATAACAAGAGCTTTTCTATACTAAATGCTAAATATACATATCGGTTCCACTCAAAACATGATGAAGCGAAAGAGGATGAATGTTATCGACTAAGAAGTATCATCACGTGACTTACTGTGACACTTTGCCTTAGAAGAACTGCGAGAGCAGGGTACAATTTATCCTTAGAATCTACAACTATAGAATTAGGAGCAAAGTGCTTGTAGAGCGCTTCTATATACTAACTATATACACATGATCATACATATACACAAATGCACACATAAGCGATCGCAATTGTGATTAGGTGCGATTCGTGGACACTACCCCCCCTTTCGAAAAAGCTTACCCTTAAGCTTCACAATTATCTAATCTGTAAATGTATCGGCAATCTCAATGAGATGTTGTTATTTATATTGTAGCATAATATGATAAACGGGCGTATACGCAAATTTTGCTTTTTTCGCAATAGAAAGGTATATAGGAAATGGAGGAAACTATTCTATAGCCTAGCAATAGTGCAAAGTCTTTAAAATATATAGATCGCTCAAATTTCCCTTTCTTTTTCAAATCTTTTTTGATTATTTATTTTCTTTGTATTCCTCAATTAATAATTAATATGCTTTTCATATCATCAAGAAAACATAGTAGTAAGAATAAGTTGTTACTAGTATAGCTAAAGTAATAGGAGGATATATATATAGTGGTGAATTGTTTATTTTTCTTTTACATTTGCTTTACTAATATACTTCTTTATAGCTTATAGTAAAAAGAATATCTATCTTTTTGTTATATAAAGCAAGTATCCTATTGAGGAAAAGGAGAAGTCAAGCCATAGTAAAAGTAATAGTAATTCTGTTAGTAAGGAAAAGGATAATAAAGAAAATGGATTGAATAACGAAGATATACATAAGTAAGGCTTTCTTTTGGTGTTTCCAGCTTACGGTCGGCTTGTCTAACAAATGCAATTACAGATATCAAAAGCAATATACCTAAGGGTGGGGTTGATCTTCGATATGCTTATTGGATGTATCCATTCCATTATCTTTCGAGATAGAATTCAAAGGAAGAATACAATCTCTTAATCAATTATATTAATAATTATAAAAAGAAGTTCACTAATAAGTTGACTACAATGATATATTATTTTTGTAATCTCGAAAATAATAACAAAATAATTAAGAAAAATATCCTGAAGGTCTTATATCAAAATCAACCTGATTGCAAATTCAATATACCCTATCACAAAAGTGTTAGCTTTATTAATATTAACAAATAAGAATCTTTAAGCAAAAAGTTACTAAAAAAGATAATACTATAATGGGAATAATATATTTGGAAGAATAACTAGATTTGTGCTGGTTATATATACAATTGTATTTCCAATAAGGAAAATAATATCTATTATCGATTTTCTAAATAATCGTTTAATCAATCTTACTATTTACTTTATCTAACTGATAAGTATAAGTATAAGCATTTGTTTGATGGGAATATGCACAAGATGTTTCTCCAATATCAATTAGCTATTATTGAGTATAACAATATGATAAAGGTAAATTATAACTTTGCTAGCTTTTAATAAAGTTAATTTTGAAATAACTTGATATACAAAAGGAGCTAAAGAGTTGTGTTTCGAAAGAAATGCTTTCTCTTATCTTTATTCAAAAAGCTATAAAGTATTACATAGCGGAGATTGCAATGCGGGGAGACAATTGAAGTAGTAGCATCAGCTTATTATAACTTAAATGGAAGTAGAGCTTTCGGCAGCTTGCAAGTGGTTGGGTGTGATTGAGCACCAGCTCAATCTTGTTATTGTATATACTGCAACTAAGGGTCGTTTTGTCTTTTGGCTTATGATTGTTCTATATATATTTGTTATTATTATTAGTTAAAAACTCGGCTAATATTTCAGTTTAAATTATCTAGTCTTTACTATTGTACCTTGTCTGACTGTAATCATTGATAATTGTAGAGGCTTTTTTTTTGGTTTAATTTAAATCTATTGGGTAAAGAAAAAGATTTTCTTTGTTGATATTTCATCTTTATCCGGTTGCTTTCAGTTTTTTGTACAATTAGGATTTTCTTTATTATAATAATAAATTAAAGAAATTTTTTCTGTCTTTTTTATTTATATATTGATTGTTGTTTATAAAATCGTAATTATTCTTTCTATTCTTATAAAGACAAATCCACTCTGATAGATATATAGGGGGTTCTAATAGAATAGGATTTTATAGGTAGAAGTCATGAAGATGGTGCGGGGCAGTTTTTAAGTTAAAAGTGGGGTACCAGATGAGATCGTTATCAGTATTTAGTTATAATACTTTATACTTAAGCTGTCGGCGTACTTTCTTTATAGTTAGAATATATTTCACTTTCTATTCAGTATCACCAGTGATATTTATTGAGGGCAGTGGTTTGAGGATTTGTTCGGGAAGTGGGTTGTCTGTCGCTTTACGGAGTTTGCTAGATGGAAATACAGAATAGACTTTCATAATGGGCAGTAAGTCCAATCGGAAGGAATCTCTAATCCAACAATAATCTTGAATCTCCTTTAAATAGAGTAATTTAGTTTTTTAGATAATTGTTATATCGGAAAGTCCTTTATATTGAGCTATATATAATCTCCTATATCGAAATCAACTAAGCAGCGATATAAATTGGCTAATCGAGATATCTTTTTTTGTATATACAAGATATTTTCTTTTGTTTAATTGAATATTAGTTTATTACATTTGGCATACTTTCTAATATTGGTTATATTCAAATCGTTAATAAACACAATGGAATCGGGTTTCCAATTTTAGGGATTGTAGGATAGATAACTATATAAAGTCTTATATAAGATTTGACTACCTAATGATTTATAGGAAAGCATGAGTTAAACATAATCCATTATTAATAGAAATTCAAATTAATTATTTTGATAATAATTTATAAAGGATTATAAGTATTATTAGAGATATTGATTATAAATCTTAGTTTAACTGTTAGTTTGTAAGTAATAAGTAATAAATAATTTGATTTGTGTTTTTAAGATATTATTGAATTCTTATTAGAATTTGGATATAAATTAAGGATTACAATTAGAGATTATAGTCTTTGGGGTATTGTAGTATCTATATATATGATATAAGTACAAGTAGGCCTAATCTCTCGAATCGATTGATTTATAACAGAATATCAAAATAGCTTATTTGATTAATCGATTAATAATAACGAATACATTATCGTAACCGTATTTATCCTTATTGAAACTATAGTAGTTTATAGTGATATGTTGCCATGCTTGTGTAGGGATTGGGAATGGATGGAGGAGACCGGGAATGCGATTTTTTGATATAAAGCTATGCTTGTATTTATAATAATTCCGTATATATTGGTTAATTGTATTATTTATATTCTTCTAATAGTATTGATTAGCCAAGAAAGTGTAGGTCTTTTTAACATTAGGGTATATAGTGGAGACTGAATTGTGAACTTTGCAAATCAAATAGGTTTGCAGATTTTCGGTGTTCGGTATATAAAGTCAATTATTGTAAAGCAAAAGTCCTTTTTTGAGTATAAAATGCTTGTGTGATTTGGTAATCTGAATATATAGAACTTTTAAACTTGGATAGGATTTATTTGCTTCAATGATGTGATTTATAATATCGAAAAGCAGTATGATTATGTGTATATTGATATTTGCGATTATATTTAGATCTTGTTATAGAGATTCGTGTATAATCTTTGTATCCACCTAATTATCTTTTATAAATTATTAAAAACAATTCTTCTTCTTAATATTATTCTGTTGATTTAACTTATCAATACGGTGTATAAGTGTATTTGTAAGTGGATTGTTCTTTCTAATACAGTATATAATAATAAAATTATAATTGGTGAATAGTTTTGCCCAGCATATTTGTCGAGTATTCAGCTATTTAGTTGATATGAAGTATTCAAATGCTTTATAATCGGTATACACTTTAATCTGGTGTGGGGATT